CCCCACACTTGGGGGTCCCACCCCACAGATCCAACCCCACACTCAGGGGTCTCACCCCACAGATCCTACCCCACACTTGTGGGTCCCACCCCATAGATCTCACCCCACATTTATGGGTCCCACCCCACACTTGGGGGTCTCACCCCACAGATCCAACCCCACACTTGGGGGTCCCACCCCACAGATCCCACCCCACACTTGTGGGTCCCACCCCATAGATCTCACCCCACACTTGGGGGTCCCACCCCATCGATCTCACCCCACACTTGGGGGTCCCACCCCATCGATCCCACCCCACAGATCCCACCCCACACTTGGGGGTCCCCTCCTAAACTTGTGGGTCCCACCCCACAGATCCCGCCCCACACTTGGGGATCCCACCCCACAGATCCCACCCCACACTTGGGGGTCTCACCCCATAGATCCCACCCCACAGATCCCACCCCACACTTGGGGGTCTCACCCCACAGATCCCACCCCACAGATCCCACCCCACACTTGGGGGTCCCACCCCCCATTTATGGGTCCCACCCCACAGATCCCACCCCAGAACTCCAAACCCACACTTATGGGGTTGATCCCCACTTGTGGGTCCCGCCCCACACTTTGGGGTCCCCCCCACTCACGCAGAGCCTCTGGCTGAGCAGCGCCGTCACCTTGAGCTGCATCGCGGGCTCGGGCCCCGCCCCCGCCGCCAGCCCCACACATTGCAGGGCCGCCCCACGGTTCGCCTCGAACCAGCTCTCCCTGCCCCACACGTGAGCCCGGACACCAGGAGTGACCCCCTGACCCCATAAGTGACCCCCAAGCCCCATAAGTGACCCCCAGACCCCATGAGTGACCCCAAACCCCCTCCCTGCCCCACACGTGACCCCCGACACCAGGAGTGACCCCCTGATCCCATAAGTGACCCCCAAGCCCCATAAGTGACCCCCAGATCCCATGAGTGACCCCAAACCCCATGAGTGACCCCAAACCCCATAAGTGACCCCAAACCCCATAAATGACCCCCAGACCCCATAAGTGACCCCCAGATCCCATGAGTGACCCCCAAGCCCCATAAGTGAGGCCCAGACCCCATAAGTGACCCCAAACCCCATAAGTGACCCCCAGACCCCATAAGTGACTCTCAACCCCATAATTCACCCCCAACCCCCTCCCTGCCCCATAAGTGACCCACAAACCCCATAAGTGACCCCCAGATGCCACAAGTGACCCCCAAACCCCCTCCCTGCCCCACAAGTGACCCCCAAACCCCACAAGTGACCCCACCCCTCTCCATCACTCACCCCTCCCCTTCCGGCCCCTCCCCCTCCAGGGGCAGGGCCAACATGGTGCGGAGGCCCCGCCCCCGTAGCCGCTCGGCCACGCCCCTCACGGCGCTCTGGCCCCGCCCCACCGCGAACTGGCCGAACAGGGACAGGGACAGGAGACCCCTCCAGAGGGGGAGGGGCAGCACCCGCCGGGACCCCCGGAGCAGCTGAGGGGGGGG